ATTGCTTGAACTAGGGAGGCAGGGGTTGCAGTGAGCTGAGATTGCACCATGCACTCTTGGCTAATGACAGAGGGAGACTCCGTCTCAATGAAAAAAAAAATAAAAATTTTGTACATGTTATTCCTGGAATTTCTGACAAGAAACCCAAATGGCACTCAGAGTGTCAGAGGACAACAGTTTATTACACCAGCAGGCCCAGACAGGTGAGCACCCAAAAGTCTGGACCCGGGTCTAAGTGAGTACACAGTTCTTACAGGTTAGGGGCAAGGGAAGTAACTCACGATTTTCAGGCAATGGAGCAATTGTGCAGGGGGACTTTCGCTAGTAAGCAGGAAGCAGATGTATAGAAGAACAAAAGCAGATAAGGTAGCTGAGGCAGCTATTTTAGACACTCAGGAAATTTTCCTCACAGGCCTTCCATCTTATCCACCCCTTTGATGCTCTTTATGTTACATGTGGAGTATCACCTTTTACAAGTCAACATCTGTGCTCAGGGGCTTGTATCCCCAAAAGGCTAGCAACTGGGCAGTTGTCTGACAACCGTGGCTTCCGTGAAGCACTGGAGTATGTTAATCACAGAGGGACTAAAGGTAAGGGCCAAAAAGATTACTAGTGAAGGCCCAAGGAGGGGAAGAGCCCAGTGGATCCAGGTTCGGAGCCCTGGGAAGCTCCAGCTGCTGACTGTGCGCCGCCTTTGAACGCGGTCCCTTAGCTCTTTAACTTCCTGTTACTACTCCTGACTGATTAACACAGTAGCAACACTCTTCCTGTAGAAGAGGCAGGAAACTACCTTCTGAGCCAGAAGCCCAAGGCTCTGCATTTTGTAGGACTACTGTGGCTAGGGAATTTAACTGCTTCTGGAGGGAGGCCAGGGAATTGGCCACCCTTTCCATGTCATCATTGAGTTCCCAGGACAGTTTATGACAGAAATGGGCTGAAGTGCCAATGCCTCCTATTGTGGTCCCTATCCTGGCTGCTGTTCCAGTTCCTACTAAGAGGGGAAGTAACGCAGCTGATTTGGACCAGTAGTAGTGAGGATTTAGAACCACTTTAACTTCTTGGTCAATGGAAACTGAGATTTCTGGGTTTAGGAATGCGCAGATACACACTCTCCTTCAGTTTGCACCTAAACATACATTTATCTACCTGCTGCAGAGGAAGATGCTGGGGAGGCACACTGGGTCTTCACATTGGAGAGGGGGATAGGTGTTGTACAAGGCAGGCGTGAGAGGTTGTCAATTACAGGTGATGAATTACTACTGACAGTCCTGGACACTCATTACCGTTGTAAGGATGGTCTCCAGTGTGAATCCTAGTATTTGGTACCAGGTGTGAATCATGCTAGAAAGCGTTGCCACAAAGCTTACATTTGTAAGGTCTCTCCAGTATGAAGTCTATGATGGTATGTAAGGTGTGACTTTCGAATGAAGGTCTTGCCACACTCATTACACTTGTAAGGTTTCCCTCCAGTATGAAGTCTACGATGGCATGTAAGGGATGACATATGACTGAAGGTCTTGCCACACTCATTACATTTGTAAGGTTTCTCTCCAGTGTGAATTCTAGCATGTTTTGCCAGGTATGAATTACATGCAAAAGCCTTATCACAAACCGTACATTTGTATGGTTTCTCTCCAGTGTGGATTATCTTATGCCTTTCAAGGTGTGATTTGCGAGTGAAACCTTTGTCACATTTTTCACATTTGTGAGGTGTCTCTCCAGTATGAAGTCTACGATGGCGTATAAGGGATGACTTCTGATTGAAGTTCTTGCCACACTCATGACACTTGTAAGGTTTCTCTCCAGTATGAAGTCTACTATGATGGTATGTAAGGGATGACACGTGATGGAATTTCTTGCCACACTCATGACACTTGTAACGTTTCTCTCCAGTATGAAGTCTACGATGGTATGCAAGGGATGCCACGTGATGGAATTTCTTGCCACACTCATTACACTTGTAAGGTGTCTCTCCAGTATGAAGTCTAAGATGGCATGTAAGGGATGACATATGATTGAAGGTCTTGCCACATTCATTACACTTGCAAGTTTTCTCTCCAGTGTGAATTCTAGTGTGTTTTGCCAGGTATGAATTACATGCAAAAGCCTTATGACAAACCACACATTTGTATGGTTTCTCTCCAGTGTGGATTATCTTATGCATTTCAAGGTGTGATTTGCGAGTGAAACCTTTGTCACATTTTTCACAT